GCTATAAAGTTTTATTGTAACCCCGTCGGTATACCTTCGTTATAAAGTTTTATTGTAACCCCGTCGGTATACCTTTGCTATAAAGTTTTATTGTAACCCCTGTCGGTATACCTTTGCTATAAAGTTTTATTGTAACCCCGTCGGTATACCTTTGCTATAAAGTTTTATTGTAACCCCGTCGGTATACCTTTGTTATAAAGTTTTATTGTAACCCCGTCAGTATACCTTCGTTATAAAGTTTTATTGTAACCCCCGTCGGTATATCTTTGCTATAAAGTTTTATTGTAACCCCCGTCGGTATACCTTGGTTTGAAACGTCTTCCAGTTTTATTATCGAATAAACCATAAGCATTATTGATTTCTTTTCATCTAAATTTAGCGAATGTAAATCTCAACATAAAATTTAGTAATCGTAAAAAACTTATTTCAGTAATGAAATATTCATTTTGATAGAACTTACAAAATTCGAACATATTCAACAAGAGCTAAAATTTCAGTATTTTGTGGAATATGTATTTAAGAACTTCCGACAGTGTTACTATTAACTGTCCTATTTATAAAAGTTTTTTTTTTTTTCAGGTTATACTGGCGAAGTCTGTTAGTCAGGCTCAGGAACAAAGTCGACCAATAGTTAACAATTTTTCCTCCAATCCAAATTTGACTCAAGTGTGATAAATACTTGTAGAGTAGTGATCGGGTGACACCTGTTTACGTCATCTTACTGAAATGTTGCGAGAGTGAAGTGTTCTGTTTATATATATAGCTGTTAAAACAAACGTTGACTTTGTTTTCATTTCATGTACAAGATTAATGAACGTTTATGTGGAAGCTCTTCAGAGTATCACTAAAATGAAAACTTTCATAGTCTTTAAAAATTTAGGCATTATAAATTATAGATGGTTTGATAATGCACTTATAAAGGCATTGCTCAGAAATAGAGGAAAAGGGGACCATGAAGTCGTTCAGATGTAAAGGAGCTAAAAAGGGAGAGGCAAGGCATCATATATGGTTTTAGTGTATTTTTACGGGGTAAGGAGTTTATTTGGTCTTGAGACAAATGTAATGAAACCTGAAACAGTTCATGTTGAATTTGTTTCAAAACCAAATCAATTCATGATCATCACCACATACACTAAAGCAATATTCAATCTTTATATTTCAATTAACATATCTTATCTATTTACTGGGGCTTGTGGTAGTCTATGTTTGAACATAGAAAAAGGGTCTGGCATTAAATTTTGGTTGTCTTGGACCATGTTGAAAACAAATCATTCTAAATACCCAAAAATATTTTTTCTTATTTTCTTAATTCTTCATTAAATAAATATGCAAGACCACACACTTGTGTTTTTCTAACGAATCAGAAAGCACTCATTTATTGTGCGGACGAATATATTCACGAGTCGCGGAGTCGTCTTGCTTTTATCACATACCTTCCGTATTTGGGAGAGATCGATACATTTTTTTCATAAACTTTGATATTTTTTGCAAATACCGGGAACTTTTCAGTTCCCCATGACAAGGGGATTCCCATAAAAAGTAGTTCCGGCTAGTAGGTAAATACAACATTCCGTATTGGTCTGAACATTGGTTGTATTACTATAACAAGATTCAACAGGTATGTGATAAACTATGAGATATGGCAGATAGATACTAACAGTGTGAGATTAGACACTAGTTCATATACACAAGCAATGTTAATCTGGTAAATGGCATTAAAAATTAACAAGGCAACACATGGTAATTTCCCTGAATCAGAAAAGTAGGAATTAAGTAGGAATGTCTATGAAGTCATGTATGATGAACTTTTAACTCATTTAAGGTCTTATATGAACATCACAGTAAGATGACAGTAATTCTTAGTGGTATGTGGGGTCTGATATGTACATCACAGTAAGATTACAGTAATTCTTAGTGAGGTGTGGGGTCTGATATGTACGTCACAGTAAGATAACAGTAATTCTTAGTGATGTGTGGAGGTCTGATATGTACGTCACAGTAAGATAACAGTAATTCTTAGTGATGTGTGGAGGTCTGATATGTACGTCACAGTAAGATGACAGTAATTCTTAGTGGTATGTGGGGTCTGATATGAACATCACAGTAAGATGACAGTAATTCTTAGTGGTATGTGGGGTCTGATATGTACTTCACAGCAAGATTACAGTAATTCTTAGTGATGTGTGAGGTCTGATATGTACTTCACAGTAAGATTACAGTAATTCTTAGGGATGTGTGCAGTCTGATATGTACATCACAGTAAGATTACAGTAATTCTTAGTGATTTGTGAGGTCTGATATGTACTTCACAGTAAGATTACAGTAATTCTTAGTGATTTGTGAGGTCTGATATGTACTTCACAGTAAGATTACAGTAATTCTTAGTGATTTGTGAGGTCTGATATGTACTTCACAGTAAGATTACAGTAATTCTTAGTGGTGTGTGGGGTCTGATATGTACGTCACAGTAAGATGACAGTAATTCTTAGTGATGTGTGGGGTCTGAGATGTACGTCACAGTAAGATTACAGTAACTCTTAGTGATGCGTGGGGTCTGATATGTACGTCACAGGAAGATTACAGTAATTCTTAGTGATGTGGGAGGTCTGATATGTACGTCACAGTAAGATAACAGTAATTCTTAGTGATGTGTGGAGGTCTGATATGTACGTCACAGTAAGATGACAGTAATTATTAGTGATGTGTGCGGTCTGATATGTACGTCACAGTAAGATGACAGTAATTATTAGTGATGTGTGCGGTCTGATATGTACGTCACAGTAAGATAACAGTAATTCTTAGTGATGTGTGGAGTCTGATATGTACGTAACAGTAAGATTACAGTAATTCTTAGTGGTTTGTGCAGTCTGATATGTACGTCACAGTAAGATTCCAGTAATTCTTAGTGATGTGTGAGGTCTGATATGTACGTCACTGTAAGATTACAGTAATTCTTAGTGATGTGTGAGGTCTGATATGTACTTCACAGTAAGATTACAGTAATTCTTAGTGAGGTGTGGGGTCTGATATGTACGTCACAGTAAGATAACAGTAATTCTTAGTGATGTGTGGAGTCTGATATGTACGTAACAGTAAGATTACAGTAATTCTTAGTGGTGTGTGGGGTCTGATATGTACGTCACAGTAAGATGACAGTAATTCTTAGTGGTATGTGGGGTCTGATATGAACGTCACAGTAAGATTACAGTAATTCTTCGTGATGTGTGAGGTCTGATATGTACGTCACAGTAAGATAACAGTAATTCTTAGTGATGTGTGGAGTCTGATATGTACGTAACAGTAAGATTACAGTAATTCTTAGTGATGTGGGAGGTCTGATATGTACGTCACAGTAAGATAACAGTAATTCTTAGTGATGTGTGGAGGTCTGATATGTACGTCACAGTAAGATGACAGTAATTATTAGTGATGTGTGCGGTCTGATATGTACGTCACAGTAAGATGACAGTAATTATTAGTGATGTGTGCGGTCTGATATGTACGTCACAGTAAGATAACAGTAATTCTTAGTGATGTGTGGAGTCTGATATGTACGTAACAGTAAGATTACAGTAATTCTTAGTGGTGTGTGGGGTCTGATATGTACGTCGCAGTAAGATTACAGTAATTCTTAGTGGTTTGTGCAGACTGATATGTACGTCACAGTAAGATTACAGTAAATCTTAGTGATGTGTGGGGTCTGATATGTTCGTCACAGTAAGATTACAGTAATTCTTAGGGATGTGTGCAGTCTGATATGTACATCACAGTAAGATTACAGTAATTCTTAGTGGTATGTGCAGTCTGATATGTACTTCACAGTAAGATTACAGTAATTCTTAGGGATGTGTGCAGTCTGATATGTACATCACAGTAAGATTACAGTAATTCTTAGGGATGTGTGCAGTCTGATATGTACATCACAGTAAGATTACAGTAATTCTTAGGGATGTGTGCAGTCTGATATGTACATCACAGTAAGATTACAGTAATTCTTAGTGAGGTGTGGGGTCTGATATGTACGTCACAGTAAGATTACAGTAACTCTTAGTGATGCGTGGGGTCTGATATGTACATCACAGTAAGATGACAGTAATTCTTAGTGATGTGTGGGGTCTGAGATGTACGTCACAGTAAGATTACAGTAACTCTTAGTGATGCGTGGGGTCTGATATGGACGTCACAGTAAGATTACAGTAATTCTTTGTGATGTGTGCAGTCTGATATGTACGTCACAGTAAGATTCCAGTAATTCTTAGTGATGTGTGAGGTCTGATATGTACTTCACAGTAAGATTACAGTAATTCTTAGGGATGTGTGCAGTCTGATATGTACATCACAGTAAGATTACAGTAATTCTTAGTGAGGTGTGGGGTCTGATATGTACGTCACAGTAAGATAACAGTAATTCTTAGTGATGTGTGGAGTCTGATATGTACGTCACAGTAAGATTACAGTAATTCCTAGTGATGTGTGGGGTCTGATATGTACTTCACAGTAAGATTACAGTAATTCTTAGGGATGTGTGCAGTCTGATATGTACATCACAGTAAGATTACAGTAATTCTTAGGGATGTGTGCAGTCTGATATGTACATCACAGTAAGATTACAGTAATTCTTAGTGAGGTGTGGGGTCTGATATGTACGTCACAGTAAGATAACAGTAATTCTTAGTGATGTGTGGAGGTCTGATATGTACGTCACAGTAAGATTCCAGTAATTCTTAGTGATGTGTGAGGTCTGATATGTACGTCACAGTAAGATAACAGTAATTCTTAGTGATGTGTGGAGTCTGATATGTACGTCACAGTAAGATGACAGTAATTCTTAGTGATGTGTGGGGTCTGATATGTACGTCACAGTAAGATTACAGTAATTCTTAGTGATGTGTGAGGTCTGATATGTACGTCACAGTAAGATTACAGTAATTCTTAGTGATGTGTGCTGTCTGATATGTACGTCACAGTAAGATTACAATAATTCTTAGTGATGTGTGGAGTCTGATATGTACGTCACAGTAAGATTACAGTAATTCTTAGTGATGTGTGCTGTCTGATGTGTACATCACAGTAAGATTACAGTAATTCTTAGTGATGTGTGAAACTCTCTTTAAAAGGAGATTATAAGACTATATTGCGGCACATATTCACATCGGTATCATTTCTAGACACAAAAATGAACATGTAACTTAAGAATTTTTTTATGTTTAAGCAATTGTTGTGCAAGTTCATGTCCTATAGATATTGAATGCCATGTCTATCTGTTATTTAAGACGTAGATGATTTCACACCTGCTAATTTTAAGTCACCTGTATTTATATAACATGGGACCTACATGACCCCTACACATTTTGGTACTTTGGGATCTCCTACATTTCTGCTGCTTCAGCTCATTTTAATTTATTTTTCAAAATCACCTTATCAAACTTAAATTATAAAAATACTTCTGATTGTGATAACTTTTAAAAGTTTATGTTTACTGAAATAAATGAAATTGTTTTTTTCTCAGCACATTTTGTCCATCTAATTTAAGCCCTTATTTTGTTGCTGTGAAGTTGGCTAGTAAATGATTGTCAAATATGTTTTAATTATAAAATTGAGGACAATCTAATATCCTGTATCGGTTAAATGTTGTCACTGCTGACACAAGTTTCTTGTCAAGTCCCAAAGGGTGTCGGGTAAGACAGGTTTATAGTTATAGAGGTTAATATCATAGATATAACAGTCATGTTTGAGATCAGTTTGTGTTATTTGAATTAGAACTTCTCTATTTTCAAGAATACAATTATGCATTATTGATATTCTCAAAGTTTTATGGTTTTTTTTAAATAATTGCTGATGTTGTAAAAACTAACATTTCTTAGCAACATTTATAATTTATAAGATTACACTTGGTGTTTGCTAAGAGTTCCCGTTATAAGATTACACTTGGTGTTTGCTAAGAGTTCCCGTTATAAGATTACACTTGGTGTTTGCTAAGAGTTCCCGTTATAAGATTACACTTGGTGTTTGTAAAAAAAAGAAAATTATGCCATAATATTAAAACTGTACTATAATGGGAAATTGTAATTGTAATAAAAGTACTATTGTATACATGTAAGTTATTCCTATAATGTTAAGTTGTTCATTAAAATACTGTTGTAGGAGGCTTCACCCGTTCACAATTAACCAGCAGAACTCGTTGAAACTTTTACATAATAAATAAAAAACCTAAGTCATCTTAAATGAACACAATACCATATAAAACATTGCATTAAAAGTATTATGAAATGCCAAAAAAATATAGCACTGCATATCAATATATTCTGACATATATATATTCACATA